GAGCAAATCCTCACAGTCTGTTATTGATCACCCAAGCCAAAACAGAAGAATTTACAATGGCAAGATTAAAAGGGATTCCCTCAGAAAAAGCAAGTCCATCTCTAGTAGAAACGGTGAGTAAAAGGTGTTGAGAGCAAAAACTCAGTTAAACTAATTATGCAAGCGTTCTCTTTGATTGGTGGGGGCCTGTGCTAATGCTAACTATTAGCCTGCAGCCCCACTCCAGGGAGTGGAATATTAATTAGCTACCACCGAGACAAGCCACAGACTCTCATTCACCATTCAACAACTGGACTATATTAACCAAACTCAGAGAAGATACAAAGCAAGAGGTAAGTATGAAGAGTGATTAATACGATTCTGTGCAACCGCAGTTACAGGCGACAAGTTGCGAAAGAAACAGATTCCTGAGCAAAGAGGAGCTCTGATCTCTGTTGTGTGACACTGTTGCCAGTTGTCACAGACACAAACTCAATTACTATTACTCTGAACTCGGACTCCCTCTGGGTTCACCAATGAGATTTCCCAAACTGCACTCCCACCAGGACTTTCCTCGGCCTTGAGGCTCCATCCTCAAGTTAGGGAGAGGTGATACTTGACCATTAATGTGCTCCAAGGCCGTGTGCCAGTTTGTCAGCCTGGCTCCTAGGGAACTGGTCACCATACCCCAAATTGGCAAGATTTTCCCACCAGAACTGGGAGGCTGCCTGTGCAGGCTCGTATGTCTAAAGTAGGTCAACAGACCTATAAAGTTCAGAAGTCCACTATATACAAAAGAGGACACGGCAGCTAGGGCTCACAAAGAGGATTTTCAAAATCAGAGGAAACTTTGGCAGCATTAAGGAAAATTGTTTTGTTTTTAAACTTTCACATAACTGAACTGTTAACTATTTGTCTCAGGTGATCCGTAAAGGAGAAGTCAGTTGCTGTTGGACTTGTACCCCTTGTAAAGAGAACGAGTATGTCTCTGATGAATACACCTGCAATGCATGCCAACTAGGCTCCTGGCCCAATGATGAACTTACAGGTGAGTGAGTTATGATAATATATAAAATGCAGTTACAAGCTGCATCTATATGTGTACTTTACTGCAGAGTTGACTAATTAGCTCCACAGTAGGGTGTCATCATCTACATGTGTGCCCATATTAGGGTGCAGTAAATGAATTAACTCTGCTGGAGGATAGCACTGTCCTTCAGCAGCATGATTTGGTGTGCTGAAATGTACATATAGACAGTGACCAGAGCTGGTTGGGGCACAAGGGTGCTGCACCATAGCATCTTTGTGCCCCAGCCAGCCCCTCCACAGCATGGTGAGTCAGGGTGGAGCAGCCCTGGGCTGGCAGGCTGACATCCTGGACAGCCCGGGGCTACTTCAGCCCGGTTCTACGTGCTACTGTCCAGGGTGTGTGTGTAAACGCTGCACCTGGGAGAAATAAACTCTGGCATTAACAGTCAAGGGAAATACTCAACATATGACTTGGAAAATATGCTATACAAAACTAAATACTAGCACTTTTTGGATTAGGTTTGGGTCCAAATTTGAACTGAGGTTGCCATTTGTGTTCATGATTCAAGCTGGTTTCTAAAGGTCTGGCATAGACTAGAGGAAGACTTTTCTCCCAAGCCACTGAATCTAGAAAGCAGCCTGGCTCTGGGTTTAGATCTAACTTTGATTTCAAACTAGCTAGATTCAAATTTAGTCCTTCCCAAAGTAGGCAGGAGTTAAGTCATTAGAAAACAACTTTAATGGGGTTATATCACAGGTGATTTGTTTTTCTCCAAAACAGGTGCAAATTAATTGAAACAGCAGCATTTTCTATCTGAATTCTAGCCAGGTGTGGAGATTGCTCTTGCCAAAAGCAGGAATGATCCAAAGAGAGTTTAGCACCAGATAGTCTGTGCTAAAGCACAGGGACCATGCTCTCTTTGCCCTGGAACACATGCCTGAGGTTCCATGCAGGGCAATATCAATTCAGCAGATTTTTAAGTCTTCAGTGTATGGCCACACTGTTTATATTCATAGTTTCTTTCCCAGCTACCTAACAGTAATAACATTATTCAAATGCTTGACTTTAACAAGGTTTTTCCTTGACTTTAGCAAGGCTTTGGATATGGTCTCCCACAGCATTCTTGCAAGCAAGCTGAGGAGGTATGGGTTGGATGAATGGACTGTAAAGTGGATAGAAAGCTGGCTGTATTGTCAGGCTCAGAGGATCGATGTCTACTTGGCAGGTGGTATCAAGAGAAGTGCCCCTGGGGTTGGTCCTGGGCCCAGTTTTGTCCAAGATCTTCATTAACGATCTGGAAGACAGGATGGATTGCACCTTCAGCAAGTCCACAGATGACACCAAGCTGGGGGGTGTAGTAGATACACTGGAGGGTAGGGCTAGGATTCAGAGTGACCTAGACAAATCAGAGAATTGAGCCAAAAGAAATCTCATGAGGTTCAACAAGGGCAAGTTCAAAGTCCTGCACTTAAGGTGGAAGAATCCCATGGGCTGCTACAGCCTGGGGACTAACTGGTTTAGAATCAGCTTTGCAGGGGATTATGGTGGTCAATAAGCTGGATATAAATCAACAGTGTGCCCTTGTTGTCAGGAAGGCTAATGGCATACTGGGCTGCATTGGTAGGAGTGTTGCCAGCAGATTGAGGGAAGTAATTATTTTCTTCTATTCTGCACTGTTGAGGCCATATCTGGAATATTGTGTCCAGTTTTGGGCTGCTACTATAGAAAGAATGTGGACAAGCTGGAGAGATTCTAGTGGAGGACAATGAAAATGGTGAGGGGGCTGGGGCATGTGACTTACGAAGACAGGCTGGGGGACCTGTGCTTATTTAATCTGCAGAAGGCAGGATGGGGAATTTGATAGCAGCCTTTAACTACTTGAAGTGTGGGCCCAAAGAGGATGGAGCTGGGCTGTTCTCAGTGGTGACAGGTGACAGAAGAAGGAGGAATGGTCTCAAGTTGCAGCAAGGGAGGTTTAGGTTGGATATTTGGAAAAACATTCCCACTAGGAAGGTGGTGAAGCACTGGAACAAGTTACCTAGAGAGGCAGAAGAATCTCCAACCTTGAGGGGTTTTAAGGTCCGGTGTGACAAAACCCTGGCTGGAATTATCTAGTTGGGGCTGCTGCTGCTTTGAGCAGGGGGTTGGACTAGATGACCTCCCAAAGTCCCTTCCAACCCTAATTTTCTATGTTTCTATACATATTTGTAGTACAGTAACACCTAAAAATACTGGCCAGGGATCAGGGACACTTGTTAGGCCTTATACAAACAAATAGAAAAAAAGTAGTTCCTACCCCAATGAACTTACAGTTTTGGTCCATGACAAAATATAACAGGAGGGTGAATCAAATCAATGAGGTATGGAAGAGAGAGGAAAAGGTAATGATATTGCATGCCTGTGTTTTTCTATATGCAGAAAAGCCAGGCAGAATTTGGTTTTTAGTGTGCAGCAGTATACAGAGAATTCTAGACTAAATATTTCTATTGCTGTTTAGGAGAGCTGGATGGCTTTAATACATTCATGACCAAGGTATCTGGTTATATTATACACAGGTTATAAAGCAATATTAATCTATAGAAATAGTTGGGAAATTTTTTTACGTGTTTTTTTTTTTCTGTTGGAAAGTATTGGAACCCCAAACTCGTTACAAGAATGTATCAGTTTTGAGTAAATTTTGAGTAGGGAAAGATTCTCAGAAAGGAGGCTTAGGGGGAAGAGCCTTGCTGCCTCCCTCCTAGTTTGTACACTCACCAGGAAGGTGTGTATCCTATACTCAAGTCCTTGCTCTGGCTTTTCCCATATCCAAGGTGAGTGCCAAAGCCCCAAGCTTACAACTCAAACTCTCCTGTTGGAGTATTCCACTCCGCACGGCCAGAGACTGGCTCTGTAGTCTGGTGTTTAGGCTACCTCATTAGAGAAGTGACAGATGCAGGTTCAAGTCCCTGCTTCAATACCTCAAAACACTTTGCAGGATAAAAAAAACCCCAAAAATGATTTCCCATTCAGCTGTATTAATTTCAAAGGGCCAAAGTAGATCATTTTTCAACCTGGTCATAATAGCTATATATGCATCATGGTGTGTTCTTCAGCAGATGCTTGCTGGGACCTTGTCTGGTCCTGGCGGCTGCATACAGAAGTTCAGGCAGCCTGTTGGGGAAGCCTGCCAACTATGGTGCTTTAACAAAATGCCATGAGTCAAGATGCTGACATGGGGAGTGGAAGAGAGCAACCCCCCCCATGCAGACCTGCACAGCTCCTTCCAGGACCCCAGCAAGTGTAGCTGGGGGCACATACAGCAGGGCAGGGGCAGGCGCCCTTCCCCCTCCCCACCCCCTGCTTGGTTGCACAGGGAGGAGACAGAGGTTTTCTGTCTCTTCTCTGTGACAGCCCCAGGGAAAGGGTTGGGCCAGTGATCAGCCATGAAGCCACCAGCCCAGCTCTGCAGAACTGCATGGGATGAGGGTGAAATCACCCAAAATTAACCCCTGCAGGGAATCTACACAAGGGGTGCCTGCAGATCTGTGGGGACGCTGCTAACACATGTTGTAAGTGCAGCACATTGAAGCAGATTTGATTAATCGAGTCTGCTGGAACATGCTAATTACTACGCTCCATATTGTGGTATGCTAATACATTTAGTGCTACTTCAAAATGATGGTGGGGGTGATTTAACTAAAGCTCGTTGAATGAGCTTTAGTTAAAGTGCCCCTGCTGCCATTTTGAAGTACAGGGAACTGAACACACAAGATGCTGCAGGCACTTTAATCAGAGTGGCTCTCAGAGCCAGTCAGCAACTGGGGGGAGTCCCCTGGTGGCCGATCTCACTGATGGGGGGACGGGGGCGCAGCCAATCTCACTCACAAAAAAGCAGTCGTGCTGCTGCTAGAAGTCCCACGGCCACTTCTGGAAGTGGCGTGGCTGCTTTTGCTGGCAGCCCCGCTCCCCAGCCGGAGCTCAAAGGGGGTCACTGGCGCTTCTGCCTGCCCCCTGCCCATTGCGTAAACAGGGAGCATGGCCTGACAGGGGGTGCACCAGTGCTCTCAGGGGGTGCATGTGCATCCCTGTGCACTCCCTACGCATCACCACTGCCTTTCCTGTTGCTGTAACTGGCAAGTGTGCATACAAAACCAACCACAGATTTCTGTGACAACATTCTGAATGGCATCTACCCCTTGTTCTTTAGTTCAGTCTTGAAAAAGAGCTCTTAAAAATGCTTTTCTAACCTAGCTAAAGGGTGCATTGAGCTGTAATGTTTTATGATCATATTTATGACCAAATTTTACAGCTAGTAAAGAATATGCCTTTCCGTCTGGGCTTGTTTTTACATAAGCTTTAGTAATAAATATGAATTAAAAATAGAGAGAGAGAGAGATGAATTTTGTATTCTGGCACAAAAACTTCTCTTCAGTGCTGCAAAACATATACTAGTCTCCTTCAAATGCCCTTATGTTTGATATTGCAGCAATCTATGCCTCTGCTGCTAGAAAAAAAAGGCATGTCTCTGGTAGTGACTGCTCCACATAAAAAGCTGATTGGAATAAGTCTTTCTTACGTTATCTCCATCAGATAAAAGTCTTGATTCTCTGCCTCCCTGTAAATACACCAACTCCACCCCTGAAAGTGTTTGATTTTAGGCCTTTAGCTCATTGTGTTGCCTGAGATTTGAATTCTGTGGCTCACTCAAAAAAATATTACTCCATCTTTCCTCCGTTCAGTGACCAGCATTAGTTTTGTGCTGAAGACTTGATTAAATTAAAAGGGGGTGGATAATGGCTGTTGACTGAAGTTTAGACTAAAATTTAGATTAAAGTTGATTAAAAATGGTTGGTGCTTGCCTGGATTTGAGATATTTTGGAACAATTTGAGACTCGTCTGACCCTTTGACTACTACCCCATTCTGCTCATCCATGTGGGCACCAATGATGCTGCCAGAGGTGACCCTGAGCAGATCACAAGTGACTACAGGGCTCTGGGTGAAGGAGAGGGGGGGACAGGTGGTGTTCTCCTTGATCCTT